CAAGTCAAAAAGTCCTTGTACTTGCAACCCATTCCATCATTCCTTCCATCGCGGTTATCTTGCCTAACTATCGGTGGGTTGGCTTGACCAACTGATCCACTGAAGTTTCCACCTTCCGAGTGCCCTTCATTTAATTCAGGCTCTTCCACACGAATCGACAGTTCTTCACGATTTTGTTGAAGCAATCGTCTAGTTTCATCCATCTGACTATCCAACATCGTCTGAATCATCAATTGCACACCAGCCATGGTTATTGGCGCAGGTGCTGCTGCTACAACAGGTCTTTGTTCAATCACTGGTGGTTGATTCCTGTTTTCATCAGCATTTCCAACTCCACTTCTTGTTCTCAGCATTTTGATCTACACACCGAATAAGGTGAAATTAGATCCTTATTCACGATAGATATTCAAATCATCCTTATCACTCCGAAACGTTTACATGCTAGTTCTAATATCGTAGACGTACGCTTAGAATCCTACACACATAAAGTTTCTAAATCCGGTCGGCAACAGACCATAGATCCGAACAAATAATATCATATATGGCAACATATAACATTTAGCACATAAAAGCATTTTAGGCAACTTTCCTAAAATAAACTAGTGCTCATGTCTAAAACATAACAGACACACATCTCAAAATTCCACTTAGCATTCTAAGTTTAAGTCTAGAAATCCTAAAAATTCCTAGTTCGCTTAAACTAATGCTCTGATACCAACTGTGACATCCCCAAAATCTCGGCCAGAAAAGACCGATTTTCATTTATGCTTTTAAAATAAATTCAGAGTAAATCCTTTTGATTTGAAAGAGTTGCGGAATTTGTTCCCAAAAACAAAACATGATAAAACAATGTTTACCAAAGCATTTCATAAAAGAAATGTATTTTTCATTATATAATCAAAACTCGGGGTGTCATGTTCCGATGTAGGCCAATAAGCATAAACGATAACATTACAAGTCATTCAACAAATATTTACATATACAGACTTGTAAACAAAACAACTTGATGGTTCATCCATCTTACGCCCTTGCGCCACTTCCTGTAATACAAATAAAACTGAGTGGGTCAGGCTTGGGAGCCTGGTGAGCATATAGGGTTTTCAACCCACAATAAATAATTAAATTTATTATTATCAACCAACAATAACCCAGTTACCCATTCCCGTTATTCTCACTTTATGTCCTAAAATAACTAACACAAGGGACCTAATCTAAGAATATTTTCATCGGGGTGACAACACATGCCGCGGGGTTTCCTCAGCAATATAAGTCAAATAAGACAACCATGAGGGGGATGGAATACAGCGAATGAACACCCAAGTTCATTAACACCTACAGGTTATGAGCCTGCTAGCGTTCCACTGGACTATTTAGAAAAGTCCGTGGTCGTCATCTAAATTTCGCTAGATGACTGGATCAAAACAACAACGAGGCCTCTCATCTGTTTATTACACACCAACTATCTACCCATGTTCTACCCAACATATTAGTAGATAAAAACATACATTTTTATACATATTTTCAAAACCTGTATAGCATGCTTGATCAATACATTTTCCATATAACAGATGAGGCACACACACATAACACGTATTTCATATAGAAATAATCATATCTGTAAGATAGAAGAAAGTGAATATACATTCACACACATAACAACAAAATATACACATAACACGTATCTCGTATAAAATACTTTATAGTTATACGTTAGGAGAAAGTAACAACGCCTTCGCACGTATAAACGACGATAAACTTAATACACTCAAACCATAGTTGTATTATTATTGCGTTTATGAAAGGTAGTATACACTCACTTGATTAGAAGATGATCGGACAACACTACGACTTGCAGAAGTAGTAATCCACAGCAGATCTGGAAGATCTCCACAAAAATCGAACTTCTCGCGGGCAGAGCTTCGGCTCGGAAACCGCACTTCTCGGGATCTTCGGGATCTCGGGACTCGCTTCGGGCTCGGAAACCGCACTTCTCGGGATCTACGATCTACAACTTTCGTTTAGACTCCGTTGGCTAATTTTGGTTTTATTTATTATTATTTATTTTTAGTAGGCCGGGACAGGAAAACTCCGTTATAAAATCATAACTTCTTCATCCGACGTCCGTTTTCGCCTATCTTTTTATCGTTTTACTACAATTAATGAGATCTTCAATTCTCATTTATATTGTTTCGGCTAAAAACCGCTCGGTCTCAAATCGAGCATTCGGACTGCATACTTCTAAGTCGAAACTTACAAAAATCATAACTTCCTCATACGAAGTCAGATTTGGGCGTTCTTTTTATGCACGCTCATGGTTTGACGTACTCTACGACTTTCATTTAGATTGATAAGGCTAAATATCGCTCTAACGTAAATTCACTTTTTACGTCGCGCTGTGTCGTGCCGGTTCCGTCGCGAAACTTCGACAGGTCATAACTTCTTCGTTATAACTCAGATTTCGGCATTGTTTATACCCTCGGAAACCTTGTTTCAACTACTATAACATTATCTAAAGATATCAAGTTTATTTTACACTTAAATTTTGACGCTTGTTTTTATTCTTAATTAATTCAAACCACATAATTAAGAAATTAAGCACAAAACACATAATACTCAAATAATACAATCTTATTATTTCAAAACGGGTTACAAAGGTTAACCTAGACCATTACATTGCTAAAAATGGCAAGTCCGGAAACACAGGCGTTACAATATATATATATATATATATATATATATATATATATATATATATATATATATATATATATATATATATAACTTAGATTTTTAATTTGATTTAATCATGAATAAGAAATAAAACATAGATTTGTTTTTCATGTTTTTGTCTCTTTTGCAAGGTATCGGTCCTTCATTTTAAAGATCATCTTGAGATGCATTTGTTTTACTCTTTGAAAGAACGATTGTCGACATTTATTTCTTCTTATCACTTTCCAATGGGATTCACGAGTTTCTTTTTGTTGTTGTTGTATATATCCTAATAATACAAATTCAAAAACAATGTTATTACTATATAATGTAATCCTTAAAACGTCAACGACACACAAAACTAAAATAATTAATTGTATACTCATTTATGTTGAAGAAGAAGGATGCAAAGAAAAAAGAGAAGAATGAGAAAGAGAAATAAACCATATGAAAATGTGGAGGGGGTGTAGCTTGGTGGTGGTCTATTCAACATCATAAAGTCTAAATCCAGAGAAAGTTTGTGAGGATTATGGTTTAGATCAAAAGATATTGAGTGATCTCTTCCTAATGGGAATACTCTAGATGATCAGTTGAAGATTATATGATTTGCTGATTTTATACTATTGATTGCAATGAGAATTGAAGAATACATAGAGTTCTAAAACATTTTGAGTGGGATCGACTGCATAAGTGCAAAGCAGGAATTTTACATAGATGGTTTCAGCAGGAAAATTAGATGGGAGGATGTTTAGCTATTGTTATATAGGAATTAGATGCTCTTTTATTAGGATAGAAGATTTATGCAAACATTACATATATACTTCCTAGATGCAATGTATAGATATATAATTTAGTTTCCGAGGGTATATGCGATTTTTGTATGTTCTATTTAATTTAATTGTTGTATTTAATTTAATTTTTGTATGTTCTATTTAATTTAATTGTTGTCTCATCTCAATTAATTTAATGAGATTTTCTAACATATACCCTAAGAGCATATATAAGAAATATTAACTGAAATATTAATTATAAGAAATATTATCAGAATTAAATGTGATAGACATTATTTATGTATAATATTATCATAACTAGGTGTGAGATCTGTGTAATAAATGAGTTTTTTTAAAAAAAATAATAATATAGTTTGTTAAGCACTAGTTGTTTAATAATTTACAAAATTTAATTTTAAAAAATATCAATATTAGCTGTAAATGAACCAATTTTTGGAAGGTTTCTACAAATTATCGTGAATTGAAAAGGGATTCGCCGAAAATTATATTTTTCAATTAGGAAGGTTGACTTGAATTTAAATTGAGTTTAATATATTAATTGGCAAATTAAATGAGAATTTGTGGAGACTTTTAAGTTTCCTTATTTTTTTTTTATTATATTTTTAGATTTAATAACAAAGCTCAAAAAACCACAATTTATCAAGTGGATTTAAATGAAATTGAAAAATCTTAAAAAAAATATGAGGTGACATATTGAATTAGGTCATCACATTTGGCAAAAAAACAAAAAAAAAACCATCATTATTACGTATGATTAAATAAATTAAAATACATTAGAATATTATTTATAATTAATATTTATGACATTTAATTTCGGTAATATCCTTTATAATTAATTCTTTAACTAATGTTTTTTATATGATAAATATCAACGAAATTTTCGCCATCCATGAACTTCCTCTAGCTTTTGCATGCTGATTTCTATCGATAGGTAAATAAATTCTCCAATTTGTTTTGCACATCTTGTTTACTGCCAAAACTGAAGGCAGAGACTACAACAATTATACACGAAATTATAAGTTGTTGCTTTTTCTTAATAAAGAATCAATCAAATTTTGTGCATTTAGCTTTCTTTTACCGATACCATGAATTTTTATGAAACTTTATGTGCTATTAATTTGCTCACTGAACACGGTTTTGGTATCTTCTTTTGTGTGGTGTGTTTAGAAAGCGCTGGGTAAGAGTTTTGGTTTGGATATTAGCCCAGCCAAACATTTGTAGGGTCTTGTTTCTAGTTGAATATATACATATTAATTAATTTGTTATAAGATAGGGATGGATACGCAATTTTTTTTTGTCAGCATTCACTAAATTTTTTGTTTGATCGGAAGTTGAAAATCCATCGGTGTTTGCACAACATTGTTCATTTTGTTTTGGTGATTGCAAACTATTGTAAACACAATAATTGTATTAATTACGTAGTTATAAGACGTTGGTGCTTTTGCTATTGAAAATCTTTGATCCAAGAGATGATCACGGTTGATATGAATGATTCAGGTGATGAACGAAGGGATGAGACTAGAAGATGTTCCAGAGTTGATGCAGAATATACAATCACGGTTGCCTGTAAAAGCAGCAGCCAAGACAAGCGTGTTGTCCAAGTCATGGCTACATGCTTGGTCTACAATCCCTAACCTCATATTTCATGTTCCCGAAGAAGAAGAAAGAAAACAGTTGATGTTGGTCTACATTGACAACACACTAAGAAAGTATCTACGTGACAACATACCAATCGAAAGCTTTGAGCTTAATATCCAGCTTGGGAGAAATGAGCATGCTTCTCTTGCTCAACAGTGGATCCGTTATGTGGCAACCAAAACTTGTCTCAAAGAGCTTTCCTTCACAATCAACTTTGACCAAGTCTCCATGAATTTGCCAGATGAGATACTCTCGTGTGTAAACGTAACAAAGATAAGAGTTTGGGCGTCGTATGTGATGGACATTGCAGTTCGGATGACAAGTAGCCATCAATCTCCGATAATCAAATGTGTTTCCCTACGAGAACTGCACTTGTTTCGTGTGCGCATAAGTCAACAACTACTTGACCATATATTGTCGTCTTGTAGGTTGCTTGAAAATATAAAGCTAAAATCTTGTTCTCAGGATCTGAAAACCATCAAGATTAAAAGCCTTCCTTGTCTTGACAAATTGGAAATATATACAAATGATATACGACACTGTCCTAGTGTGGAGATCAATAATGTCCCAAATCTTTGCATGTTTAAATGCGATCTACAGCCTATGGGAACTAAAGGGATGGATATTCTTCCATTCAGCAGTGTGCATTCAATATCGTTAGGAAGCAATGTGACAGAATTATGGTTAGGTGGTCCGGGTCTGGTGACAGATGATGCATCTGTGGATATGATCAAAACAGGACTTCCTTTTCTCGAGAGTTTAACCCTTAATATGGGATTTTGGAAGTTGGAAAACTGTCGTTTTACATTTGCTTCGATCAAGAGATTGTCCTTGATATCGTTGCCAGACAATCATATCGGCATACACCTTAACACTCCAAAATTACTTTTTTTCCACCTCGATGGCAGCACAATGCCTAGTCTCTCGTTTCCAATCTCTACTACTCTTGAGGAAATCACGTTTCGGATGAAACCCTATAAATCTTTTGATGCTTCTTTTCTTCTTAAGATGAGGGAAGCACTCGAGTTATCGAGGAAGTGCTACCTTCATATAGCACCCGTCTGGTACTATCGTCCGCCGCCATTGAACATGGACATCCTTGATGATTTAAAAACAAGGCTCCAGTTTCCTCCTGCTACGAACGTGGAAACTCTGACATTTGAAGTGTGTAAGGATGAATGCCAGTGGGAAAGCTCCCCATTTTTTCATGCATTTTTTGAGATTTGCCATCCTAAGCAAGTAATTGTAAAGTCAGACGTTTGCAAGATGATGCTGGGGGAGGTTTTGGAGAAGAAGACAAAAATAGCTGCGGATTGGCCGAATTACGTGAAACATGTTCAAATAAGAAGACCTGATGAAAGATGGGACACCCTAACAGATTCCCACACCAGTTTTCAAGATGGTAGCAGGCCTTACTACGCCGACTTCAAACTTGAGTGGTGTTAAGGGTTGAATTATTTATTTTAGTATAATAACTCATCTTCTCTACTTTTCGTTACAAACTTATTTAAACATACTAGGTAGATGCAATGCATCGATACATAATTTAGTTTCCAGGGATATATGATTTCATCCACTTTATTTATCTTATGTTCTCAGTTAATCTACCTGGTATAGTAATTGGTAATTTAAAATTTGAAAGAGAGTTATTGATAAGAAAATACAAATTGTGGGAGTAAATATAAGAATTTGAAATAAGCCCTATCAATTTTCTATTTGCGTTCTAGTTACTATTTTATTACTTGTACTAGGTATGAAATCCGTGTATTATACGGGTTTATTAAAAGAAGGTTTTGGTAATCAGAAAGATCATGTTCATAAAAAAATAAGTAACGATTGAGTTTGTGACATTTTGGTAAACCGGATGGACTATTTATGTAATTTGGTTTTAATTAAACTATAGTCATAAAATTAATTAATATAAATTCACAAATGGAATGTACTATCTACATTAATATACATATATATTAATTAATATATTAATAGAAAGAGAAATTCAAAAATAGAAAATTAATATGTACATTAATGAGTATATTTATAAAATTAATTAATATGTACACTGGTATATTCATTTCTGACGAACTCTTCTTGCCCTCATTCCTTGCCTGTTTAAAACCACGAAGAAGGTTGATGCAGCAGGATCCAGTAAGCCAAAGTAGAGTCTCGCCCCAATTGACGCAAAGGGGGAGATTATTGGGTCCATTATGTGTTGCGTCTTGGGTTCGATCCTTAGCACAGTTTTGTATCCGGATTAGGCCTATCCATCCGTGATTTAATTATTAGGGTTTAGTGGTCATTGAAGTATTTCTTATCATCTTCAGAATTTTGCTTACACTGATTGATGATCCCCAGAACATGCTCCAGACACGAAGTGGTGTAAAGATGTTTGTCAGTCAAAACGAACAGACATTTCTGGCCTTCTTTCCTGGTGAACATAACCGAGTTTCGCTTCGGATCAATCCTCCCCATCTGCATTTTATTCAGGTCACTTGCAGAACCGACTGGGGAGATGGTGGGCTTCTTTCTAAGTACATTAGCAATTTCCTGATCCAACTTGGCAACCTCTAAGATATAACAAACCAACATCCTCTTGAAGTGATCTATGATTGGTCCATATTCAGTTTCATTGGTGAGGAGGATGTTATGCAGGATGATCCAATCGTGAGGATTTAGGTTAGGAAGATCAGCAAGAGAAATGGCATATTCAGCTTTATCTGACCCCCTCAAGACTTTGAATCCGACGTTCGTGAAGTTACCCTCCCGAAAGGGTTTGAGGACCCGAGCATTGACAATCTTCTGTGCACTCCACGTCTGATACTGAGGCTGATCAAACCTCAGATAGAAATCAATAAGTTCCCTATCAACCTTCGGGTGAGGATGAGGGACTTCAGTTATGTGGGGAAATGCATGAAAGATAAATGCCTTTCGGGTCAAGGGCATGTCGAATTGAGACTCAACATAATTAGCCCTGTCCAAAGAGATCACAGGTTCAAGCCAGAGGATGTTGGGGGACTCGATAGCTTCTTTGACAAGCTTCTCAAGAGTCCATGGAGGGAATAGGGTTTTTCGACTTTCAAGGAGATCATGAGCCTCCTTCATCCTTCTTTCATTTGCTTCGGCCTCCCTAGCAATCCGAGCATTCATGTCCAGTTCCTTGTCCTTGACCTGTTTCTTCAAAATACCAGCAATGGTTTCTTTGTCTTCGTCTCCATCACTGTCATCGAGAACCTTTTTGCCTTTGTCTTGAGCACCCGAACCAGATGCATGACCAGTTGTTGGTGGTTCGGTTGCTTTAGTTGGAACTGATGAAGAAATTGGAGGCGGTTGGGATTGAGCTGTGGAAACAGGAGGAGGCTGAGATTGATTACTACCCTTTGAAGCTCCTTCTCCCCCTTTTTTTGGATGGACCACTTGCTCAGGAACCCCCTCAATTCTGCTAAGCATGGCAAGGGCAGGAGCAAGTTTCTCAGCAAGAGTTCGCCTCACTGAGTAGTTGAGAATCGGGTCATGCGCTTCAATGATATTCGAGAGGGCCCCATGGACATCCGAAACACAACTCTTAATTACAGCACGCTCGGACCGAAGAGAATCAACCTCCTTCTCAGTTTGGGAAAGTTGAAGACTCTTGGTTTTTAGCGCAGTTGTTTTGCGTGCAAGCGCATCCATCACATAATTTCCGTAGAAAGGTCTTTTTGGAGCTTGGTCAGGCGATCCTCAACGGTTGTCTGGAAGGATTTGTTGTCTGCTTCTAGGGTTAGACGAAGACTGGCGAAGTGGTGCTGTTCTATTTCAAAGGAAGTAGCCAGCTTCTTAACAACCGAATTAACCTTCGCTGCATTAGATTCAGCTGCCCCCTGCAAAGACTCCAAAAAGAGGGTAGCATCTCGAAGTCATCATCTTATCTTTTAAATGAGCTGTCATCATTAAATAAAATCAAAGACTTAGAAAAACCACAACATTCCCTTGTTGAGTATATCATTACGAACCGAAGCTACATAAAGGAAAGTAGCTTGTAGAGAACCGAACCAGACTTTTGGAAAATCAAAAAGATTTTCGTGCATAGATTTTCAAAGATAAAGAAATAAAGCAACATCTATGTGGGAATTTGTGATGTCAATATAGACACGAAACAGTGGATCCCGGGCACGAATCTCTTCCTTCAAAGTCAAGAGAGACTTTAAAGTGTCTGTGTGGTTTCCCGTTGAATTACGATCAAGCACTTGTTAAGAAGTGTTTAAAGGCATCTTTTGATGAGGCTTAGAAGGGTGGCTTTCGCTTCAGTTCAGAATTTCGGATCTTGACATAAGACCGAAACCGAACGAAGTACCTGTGAGACCGATGTGGTCTGTTGAACAAGTAGGTTTAGACTATATTCAGTGACTTGTTGGAAATGTTTGGTGTGAAATCTCAAAAAAAAAAAAAAAAAAAAAAATTAAAACTGGATTCTATGGGAAGAAATGTTATGGTGTGTAACAATTTCATAAGAATCACACAAAAAGAAAAATAGAGATTTCATGATACAACCACTTGGGTGGTTTCGTTAATTCATGGGTGAAAGCTAGAGCAAATTTAATTGTTCACCGTCAATTCATAGTGGGTATTGAATTTTGGGTTTCACTTAGCACGTAGTGACACGAAGCTAAGATCATAAACATAGAGATTGTGTAACCATAAACCTCAGTGGTTATTTCTGAGAGTCTCAAGGGTTACATTTATGAACCGAAATATGATGGAGAAAAATGTTTGAGGTGTTGTAAAGAAACCAAAGTACCTCTGCTATAAAAAGAATGACCAAGCAGAAAACTCTTAACTCATATGAGAAAAGAGTAAGGTAGCTCATGATTAGAATAAATTTAGTAGCCTAATTGGGAAGATGAGGTTTGTATATATCCAGTTAATAAGGCTTTATTCAAAATCAGTTGAGGCTTTGGACAACATGCACCAACATGCTTCTAGGGAAACTTAGCTAGTATAAAGTGTGAGAATGATACCTGCCCCATCGATATTCCAGAAACTGTTAACATAAACAGAAGTAGATACGAAAGAAAGAATTTTTTTTGGAATTTTGATATTTTTGTAAAGAGAAAAACAAAACAAACCAAACAAAATTCTTTTTTGAACCGAACCAGAAATGGACCAAACGCTCGGTTCATTTCGGTTCCTTAAAAAAATATTTTTGGATTTTTGGAAAACAATTGTACAAAAGTATACAACCAAAGACATCACCTTTTTGAGATAAGCGAAAACAAGTGTAGTGGGACCGAACCCGAAATAGACCGAGAGTTCGGTTCATTTCGGTTCCTGTGTGAACCAAGCCCGAAATAGACCGAGCGTTCGGTTCATTTTGCTTCCAACTTTTAGTTTTGAGAAGGTGTTTTTGGTACTGACTCCGATTCCATCATACCTAGGCCTTGTAGGTTTTTATTGAAACTTGCTTCAGGAAGGGCTTTGGTGAAGATGTCGGCCAGTTGATCAGTGGTTCGAACAAAGTGAATTTCGACGTTTCCATCTTCCACATGATCCTTAATAAAGTGATACCTCAGTGCTATATGCTTGGTCTTGGAATGTTGCACTGGGTTATGAAAGATCCTAATTGCACTTTCTGAGTCGCATTATAGTGGGATCTTTTTCATATTGAGTCCATAATCCCGGAGTTGGCTTTGGACCCAAATTACTTGTGATGTGCAGGAGGCGGCTGCAATGTACTCTGCTTCGGCTATAGATAGAGAAACACATGTTTGTTTCTTTGATTGCCAGCTAACCAACTTCCCGTCTAGGAATTGGCAGCCTCCTGTGGTGCTTTTTCGGTCTAGACCACATCCTCCTAAGTCTGCATCTGAGTAAGCTTGAACGAAGAAACATGAGTTTAAGGGATACCAGAGACCGAGAGAGGTGGTTCGCTTCAAATACCAGAATATATTCTTCACTGCCAGCATGTGTGGTTCACGAGGATTTGCTTGAAACTTGGCACAATAGCATACTGAAAACATTATATTGGGCCTGCTAATTGTGAGGTACATCAGGGAACCAATCATTTAGCGATATAGCATTATGTCGACTGCCGGTTTTTCCAAAGATGGTGTGAGATTGGTACCGAACGCCATAGGGACTTTGACCTTTGAGTCTCCCATCATGCCGAATTTGGCAAGGAGAGTCTTTGTGTATGCTTCCCGGTTGATAAAGATGCCTTCGGTTCCCTATCTAATATTTAAACCAAGGAAAAAGTTAATCGGACCCATTGAGCTCATTTCAAATTTAGTCTCCATCAACTTCCTAAATTCAGCTGTTAGGCTAGGATTCGTGGAGTCGAAGATGATATCGTCGACATAGATTTGAACGATCATAAGGTGGTTACCTTCCTTTTTACGAAAGAAGGTTGGGTCAACCGAACCTTGTTTGAATTTAGACATCTTTAAAAACTTAGTTAATGTTTCAGACCATAAACT